TGAAATATTTTAATCATTTGCTTCATATTATGATCAATTTGATCACAAATCCAATATTTTTCTACATTTGAAAACATTTTCAATGTTTTAAATTTATTGCTGAATTTAATTATATTATTATAGTATTTATTATCTGATACTCCAAAACAACCCGATGATTTTGAATTATTTATTATCTAATGTTGAAAGCTATTTAATTGCATATTTATACTTTATATTTTTTTAAAAATAATTGTCACTTTAGCATGCTCGAAATACTGAAATGTTACATTTCACATGCATTTAATAAAATAATTTTAAATTATAAATTGAACTAATTCTAAAACACTGATTGGTAATATAATAATTGGATTATATTATAATTGTTTTAAATATTGGGTTAATAATGATGATGATGTTGAATAATATTAATATAATAAATACTTAATATTTTATAATTAAAACCAAAATTGACTAACTTTTAAATGAAATATAAAATTAAATATTTTTTAAATTACAAAATAATTAACCCATTTATTGAATACAATTGTTGTTCACAAATAGATTGTTTTATTATAGCAACAGATATACAATATGTTTAATACTGTAAGTGCACTAATATTATAACTAATATTCATAAATACCAATCTATTGTATATTATAAGTACAATATTTTAATTTAACCTTGGAATTCAATGATATTTTATAAGGTATGATTAATTTTTTATCTTATAACATTTAAATGTATATGTTATAAATACAATAAATATGATGTTTACAAAATTGTTGCTAAAAATTCATAGAAAAATGTGATTTTTTCACGATATTTAATGTAAAGTCATATCCCGGATCATATTCCTGTCTATATCTTGCTGGCAGTTACGGTGATAATGTACAAAGATAATTTAATGTTTTTAAAATTAAAAATATTTATGTGCTTTATATGTAATTATAATTGTATTTTATTTTTGTATATTAAAAATAAACAGAATAATTTATTAGGTTACGCTGTAATTTTAATTATTATTATTAAATTTTGATTTTCTGTATGCCCATATAATATAGCTACGATGCGCACACATTGTAATCCGGGCCACATTAACAGTGACAAAACAGTGAATATTATAACATTAGTCAGTATAACATTAATGTTAAAATATTTAAAGTTTTGTCACTCATAGTGTGGCTCCAAATGGCTCCAGTGAGCATCGGAGTAATATAGCATAAAACATTAAAGGTAATTTAAATAATATGATAACTATTGTTTTATTAATATGGATTAAGAATATAGATTTATTTATTCAATAAATTGTAGTCTATTATATATTTCAATATTTACAAATAAAACGGTCTTGGTAGATAATATAATGTGAATTTTGGATATTGCTGATTTTAGTGTTTTATTAATGAGCTATTATAATGAGCTACATAATTTTTGGAAAAGAAAATTTAAATTTCAAAATACTACCAAGTTTTTTATTAGCAAATAGGTATAAATAAACAAATTTTAATAACTACCTGTCTGCATCAATTACTAATACATCCAAATCAAATATATTGCCACCAATTAGTGCCAAACTATAGATATCTGATTTACGACCGTATTTTCTACCCTGACCAACTTATGGTGCCATATATCTCAATTTATCGACATCTACTGTGTGTTTGTGTTTTGTTATGTAGCGAACAGGTTTGTCGTGAACTGTAGCCAAACCGAAGTCACATAACTTCAAAAACCTTCCGTTCCTTGCGTTGTGTGCAATCAATATATTGTCGGGTTTGTGTCCCATTTGGTCATTAAAAACATAAAACGTTGTGATATTTTGTTTGATATTTGTATCGATTGTATCACAAATTTTAAACGTTTCTAAATTTGAAGCCATTTTCTAAATTTAAATAAACTTATATACATTACTATTGTTAGATTAACCTTATTTTAAAGTTACAAATACGGTAATTAATTGTTTATAGTTTATTAATTCACACTTTAACAATTCATAACTTACTTATTTAATCAATTGAAATGTGTGCAGCACTGTAATAATTTTAATAATAAACATTGTTATAAATTGTAGCAATTTATTTAGAGTAATATTAATATATTAACATTAAATGGATAATAATTGTAATGATACAGTTTTACTAGGTTTAAAAATTAAAATTAAAATACCTGTAATATATGATTGAAATGTTTATATTCTGAGAAAGTTCAGTTTAAAATAAAGTACAGTTGCTAATTTGCACAAATTAATTTATTTTTCATTAACTTTTAGTATTTTAACATTAAACCAACCAACGCACTTAAACATATACTGTATGTAACTGTTTGTGGCACCAGTATCCCAATTGAGACCCCTTATTATATGATACCATGGCTTTTATATGGAATATACTTTATAATGTAGTACTTTCTACAAACTTCCGGTAAAGTTAAAGGTTTTATGTTAGGGAACGGGAGTTAATACACATTACATACAGTACTACATAAGCATAATATACATACTCTAGTCGTTTCACAACTATATATTGCTGTCAATTCGCTCGTATTGTGGACAAATGTATACCTAAACATGAAATTCAATGCATTTTATGTGCAATACTTTTACTTAACCTTTGAATTGTTAGATAATGATTCATATTTAAAATTATTTATTCAATATACTGTATTAAGGCATTCATAAAATATTTTTTTAATCACTATATATTATATGGTATATAATCATACCGTAATCAACTATTATATCAATAAATATTTTTAAAATTATTTACACATTTGACTTTATGATAAGCAATTTATGTTACTTTCATCTTATTTGTTTCATAATTAAAACCTAATTACAGTTTATAAAATGTAATACTTTAGCATTAATTTATTATTTACCCATTTTTAAATTTTTAAGTATTTCTCGTTTCCGTGACAGTCGTGTCTCATTGTATTGAATATTTTTGGCTTTTAGTAAATAATAAAATAATAAGTTTTCATTAGATTTAAGTCTTTCTAACGTGTACTCAAACTCAGTATTATATGTCACGGTATTCATATTGACAGACCATTTGCTATATTTAGCCAACACTTCACTACAATCGGGCCTTTTATTCCAGTTCAACGAAACCATTGTTGACAATAGTTTGTACAATTTGCACACTGGTGAGTTTAGTGTTTTATTACTGGATGAGTATTGTCTAAGAGAATGCGTTGAAAATAAATTAATTAAAAATATCGGGTGTCCCATCGTATTAGTACTACTTTCAATTTAAATTTAAAATTTTTACAATTATATTTGCTAACATAAACTATACCAAAATGTTGAAAATTTATTAAAATATTGTGGGATTCAAAAATTTTTCATAAAATGCGTACCCTGGTCATAATTTGTTTTACTGCATGCATGTCAGTTTTTTAAATACAAAAATCGCGAAATTCTTAGAGCGCTATGAATACAAAGCATTGATGCGAGCATTCGGTGACAGTTGTACAGTAGTTTTACTATGGTATTACGCAAAATAGACATGCATGCAGTATACCCAAAATAATAACCAAGGTAGGCATTTTGTGAATATTTTAGGAATCCCACATAACATTTTTGAAAATTTCCAACATTTTGGTATAGTTTTTGTTAAGAAAATATAATTGTAAATATTTTTAATTTAAATTAAAATAGTACTGATACTATGGGACACCCATTATATTGTAGTTAATAAACGGATCAAAAAATAAAATAATTACATCTATGGCCTGTCACTGGTCTTATCAGTGGCTAATAGCAAATGCTCACTCTGGGTGTAGCCAATCATATACTGGAATCTGCAAACTTGGCATATGCAATTTTATTCTACACTATTTTATGAGTTAATTAGGCTATTTAAATATGGCGAATGGCCAGACACTTCTCCGTACGGGCCATGGTTTGTCCGCATATTCCACATGTTATTCCCTATTCATTCGCTTTTAACGCTTTATAACGCTTTTATGAAGCATTAATCATTTTAACATTGTTAGTCAGCATGAGTTTAGTTGTATTACTAAATATTTTCCCAGTAAAACATTACTAAATGCATATTTTAAGCAATGAATAGGGAATATGCTTGGCTACACCCAGAGTCAGTGAGAAAACCTACTAATATAATTAGGTTGGGAGGTCATATATGTGAATATTAATTTTTTATCCTTTTATTAACTATAGCAATTATAATTTACTTTAATTTCTTTTTTGGTTCGATAAGTACAACATCCACGTCAAATATTTCGCCACTTATTAGTGCCAGGCTATAAATGTCTGATTTGTGACCATATTTTTTACCATGACCAATTTCCGGAGCCTGGTATCTCAAGTCGCCGATATCTGACGTATGTTTTCGTTCAGATTTGTAGTGAATGGTTTTATCGTGAACTGTAGCCAAACCAAAGTCACATAACTTAACAAATCTACCGTTCCTTATATTTTCAGCGATCAATATATTGTCGGGTTTGAGGTCTCTGTGAATGATCTGTGGATTCAATTCATGTAAATATTGAACGCATTCTAAGATCTGTTGAAATATATCACACGAAATGAAATACTCGTATAAATCCATGGGATCTCCCGATTGTCTCTCAAATATATGTGGTTTTACTTCAAGAATATTCGTTAAATTCTGTGAACAGAACTCCATTTGTATGTAAAGACATCGGGTTTCACGCCATGAATGATAATATTGGACCACATATTCGGACTTAACTTTCACTAAGTTTTCCACTTCTCTCAAAACTTTAACAGTTTCTATTTCATCAAGATCTAAATAGAAATAGTTATCAATGTTCATAATTTGAAATATAATGCATTTTAAAATTATTGAACAATACCTTTATATTGTATCCGTTTTACAGCATATACCTGTCCATCATACGCGTGCTTCACACGGAATACTATGCCAAAACCACCCTGTCCAATTACCGACAACTCATCAAACGTTTTCACATAATACCCATCGAACACAGTTTGATATAAGTAATTGTTACTAGCTAATGTTATGTGCGTGATTTGAACCTCATTTGCGTAGAACTCACTGAAACCATGATATTGTGTTTGATATAATCTATTTTTCCCAGTTAATATAACTACATTATTAACTGGCACATTATTAATTATTTTGTTTTGTATGGCGACTATGCAATTATTAGAAAAGTTGAATGCGTCAATATGCGATATATCTTGAAAATCGTAACTAGATTCAAATAGTGTGGGCGTATGCGCGGTTATGTAGTTAGTACCTAGGCGATAATATCCACAATAATAAATGAAACCCCGATTTGATAGGAAATACGTCATAGTTATTGATGAGGCGATAGTTTTTATATCGTTTAAAGTAGCTATCAATCGTGGTGTTGACAAAATGTCGCTGGTTATATTGTGTCCCAAATGTTGGGAACCATTGTCACCCCAACTGAACACAAGTCCCTCACAAGTGATGGCAAATGATTGATAATATTTGCAATAAATTGTTTGTATTTTGGGATTATTTGTGAATTGTATGAGAATTGGTTCGTAAATCATGTCCTTTTGATGGTCACCACAGCCTACCTGTCCCTCTCGGTTACGTCCCCACCCATACACTTGTCCATTGGATGTGAGGGCCAGTGAGTGATGGGAACCGCAACTGATTTGTTGGATATTTTTGTCGTCGAAATACGATATTCTCTCGGGTTTTGAATAAATCCCTTCTGGTGTCCATTGTCTACCCAACTGTCCCCACATATTGTGACCCCAACTATATATATGGTTCACACTATTCATAGCCAACACAAATCCATATCCAGTAATAAATGTATGAATACTTTGATGACATAATTCCGGTATAATTTGTGGCGATTGTATGGACTCGTGGTGACCCAAACCCAGACACCCGTACCCATTAGATCTCAACCCATAAACATTATCATCATATGTGACGAAAATGATGTCATTGTATAACATTCGCGGATTATAATCAAAAGTCTTAAAAATGTGAAATAATTTAATCATTTGTTTCATATTTATGTCAATCGTATCCAAAATCCTATACTTTTCCACATTTGAAAACATTTTCAATGTTTTCTTAAATTTATTATTAAATTTTATTATAGTATATTATACAATAGTATTTATTATCTGGTACATCTAAACAAATCGGTGATTTTGAATTATTTGTGAGTTGAAAACTTTTTCATTGTTTATACTTTAGTCGTTATATTAATTTTAAAATAATTATCACTTTAGCATGCTCGAAATACTGAAATGTTACATTTCACAAAAAAAATAAAATAATTTTTTATTTTTATAAATATAATTAGTTTTAAAACATTGACTTTTAATCATAGAATTATATTATAATTGTTTTAAATATTATGTCACTAACGTTAATGTTGAATGCTAGTATTAAAAGAATACTTAATATTTTATAATTAAAACCATAGTTGACTAACTTTTAAATGAGATATAGAATTAAGTATTTTTTAATAATAAAATAATTAAGCATTTATTAAATGTAATTGTTGTTCACAAATAGATTGTATTATTATAGCAACAGATATGCATTCAATTCACTCGTATTGTCTTAATATGTCTTAAATACCAATCCATTATATATTGTATGTACAATATTTTAATTTAACCTTGAGCTTCAACGATATTTTATAAGGTAGTATTAATTTTTATCATATAACATTTAAAATCGTATGTTAAAAATACAATAAATACGATATTTATAAAATTGTTGCTAAAAATTCATAGAAAATTGTGGTTTCACGATATTTAATTTTACGAAATGTGAAGTCATATCCCGGATCATATTCCTGATAATGTAAATAGATAAGTTAGTATTTTTAAAATTAAAAATATTTATATATTTTTTATATAACTGTAATTGCATTTTATTTTTGTGTAATAAAAAATAAACAGAATAATTTATTAATTTACACTGTAATTTAAATTAATATTATTAAATTTTGATTATTATAAACTTTGGGAATATTCTTTAACTCTCTCTCTCTCTCTCTCTCACCTTAATTTAAACAAACATTGGTTTGCATAATAAGCTTAATAAACACAGTATTTAGCTCACTATGTAAACCTCATCAAAAAATAGATGAAAATACTTCAAAAAATATTTTCTAAACCTGCAATGACAGGGGATTTGTTTTTGCAGTATTAAGAATTTTTATTTTATTTTATTTAATTATATTTTACTCAAAATTTTGACAATTTTATTTTGCAAATTCAACATTTAATTAATTTACTTGAACATAAATAACTATTTGAACAACCAAGCATCTAAATTACAACTTAAATTGTTGACAATTATCAATCACCAATTGGTACAAATATTTTTTATTTTAAATATCTGGGTATTTTATTGTAATTATAATTATATTTTAATAATTAAAAATTATATTGCACATTAAAAATAAAGAAAAAATACGAGAAAATAGTTTCATTAGTGAAATTACAATTAATCGTAAAATTAATGAAAATTTAAGGCAAACATGGAGGCAAAAATGATTTATACAAATAAAACATAATTTATGCGACATTTCATAAACCAATCACTTCTTCGGTCTCTTCACACGTCTGTCCATAAGATTGCATTCATTTGTCTTACGTTTGGACACGACTTCAGAGCACTGGACATCAGATACTCCCTCGTGAGTGGTTAAGACATGTTTGTTAAGAACCAACTTATTGGTAGTCCTATAATCACAGTCAGGCCAATGACACAGAAACCCACCGACAGGTATACCTCTGTGTCTCTTCTCGTGGTAACGGAGATACGATCTAAACGGAAACGACTGCTCACAGCCGGGCCAATGGCACCGGTAGACAGTCTCTCCCGTATGTGTATTCATGTGTGCCTTTAAATACACCTTTGAGTAAAAAGTTTTGTCACATTCAGGCCATTGACACTCAAACCGTTCATTTGGTAAACCTTTGTGTTTAATGACATGTCTATCGAGTCGACCCTTTATTAGGAATGACTCCTCACAGCCCGGCCAATGGCACCGGTAGACAGTTTTAGCCGTATGTGTGTTCGTGTGATCCTTCAAACTTCGCTTTTTTACAAACGTTTGGTCACATCCGGGCCACTCGCACCGGTATCTAAGGGACTGGTCGTGTGTCGGTAGGTGTGTCCGAAGGTGGGATAACGTGGCGAAGGTATGCCCGCATTGGTCGCACACAACTGTCTTCTTGTGGGTCAACCCATGGCTCTTCATGTTGTGCTTGTATTTAGTCCTATACTGACAGCCCGTATGCGAGCACTCCATCCACGGTATGTCCGGATAGGCGTCGGGATGTGCTGTCAACTCATGGTAAATGAGATCCGATTTACGGAGAGCCGTATGACTGCACCCATCGATCGTACACTTCAACTGTCGGTCCGTCGAGTGAAAGGTCTTGTGTCGCGTCAGATATGACGGCATACCCGTCGCGAACCCACACCCGTGTTGACAAACAATTGATTTGACGTTTCAATGCATTCACTAATGAAT